TGGGTTCGATTCCTCAGCACCACATAAGCAAAAAGAAAAAAGCTGGAAGTGGCGCTGTGGCTCAAGTGGTAGAGCACTAGCCTTGAGCTGAAGAGCTGAAGGACAGCACCCAGGCCCAGAGTTCAGGCCCCATGACCAGACCCCACCCCTCAAACAAAAAAAAGAAAACAAATTTTTGTTATAAAGGTGATGTTCAGAAGGGTTATCATTGCATAAGTCAGGTAGAGAGGACATTTCTTTTTGTCATCCCTTCCCTCACTCTATTCCAGTTTTTGTTTTATAATCTATATCTAACTAGGAAATATATGAAGAAGCCAATCTAGTAGATTTTAGTAAATTAGTTGACGGACTTTAGTGATGATTGTGGGAATTTCAGTGGTCCCCTCCTTCACCATGTTCCCAGGGCAGGAATGTATTTGAAGGCTGCTAGACTTGTAGACCCCCTTCTATATCCTGCCAGTCTGCTGTCTTCTGGAAGTACATTATTTTCAAATCATATTTTAGATTTTTTTAAGTAGGTTTCAAAATACCTTTTTCCATTTTCTTTGTCCGTGGTTCCCAACATATTACTGACTTTCACATAAGAGTGCTAATGTTGGGGCTGGGAAGTTGGCTCAGTGGTAGAGCGCTTGCCTTGCATGCCTGAGGCCATGGGTTCGATTCCTCAGCACCACATAAGCAAAAAGCCGGAAGTGGTGCTGTGGCTCAAGTGGTAGAGCGCTCGCCTTGAGCTGAAGAGCTGAGGGACAGCGCCCAGAGTTCAGGCCCCACGACCGGACCCAAAAAAAAAAAAAAAGAGTCCTAATGTTAAGATTTTTTTAATCCTGTCTTGTTATCTAGATCCTGCATTTCTTCATAAAGTTCACTCCCAATGAATCTAGTTCTCTTGTTGGTATGTCTGGTAGAATACCTGCCCTGTGTCAAGAATTTATTCCCCTGTTCTTAGTTCTACATGTCTGAGGCAGGAGTCATTAACTCCTCAGATTTTATCCATGAACTCCTTCAAGATCCTGCAGAAGGTGCCCTGAAAGTATTAGGTACAACAATCAAAATGAGCATTTCCTGACTTTCTCTACAACTGCCATGACTAATAAAACTCAAATGGGCAGGGAGAAATGAAGCAAATGCTTTCCATTCTAGTGCTTAAGCCCAAACATTCTAGAGTCTGCTTTCAGGAGCTCATCCATTCCACAGTTTCTGTGAGGCCCTTGTAGTTTACCACATGTCTCCTGCCTGAAAATCCCTCCAATAGAACTTCTCATAATTGTTTGGGGTAGACAGATTTCTCTAGTCAGGCATTCCTGCCTCTGATGTGTCTTCCTCTCTACAGAAACACAGCAAACCCTGTGCATGATTTTAGCAACTTTGGGAATTGGTGCTGTTACCCCTGGCCTCAGAGCCTATTCAAATCACAGCATTGAGCTCCATCCCCACTGTAGTGAGGTACTGTCTCAAGTTTAAGACATCCTGGCCTACATAATACCTAAAAAATACAAAACAAAACCTGTTTTGTTTGCAGAGAGAATTTTCTGAACTAGTTACATGTATTGTAGGGACAAAACGAAAGCTTCTTAAGTGTAAAAACTTTTTTTAATAAAGTATTTAAATACTTAAATGAGATATTTAAGAGCCTATCTCTACATAATAGAGACTATATGTTAAACTGATAGGCAACATTGTACTAAGAAGGAAAAAATTAAAGGCATTTCCTGTAAAGTCAAGAATCAGTTAAAGCTGTCCACTCTTATTCAATGTGGTGCTTGAATTCCTAGCCAGAATAATAAAATGAGCAAGAAATAAAAATGTATATAAATAGGAAAAGAACAAATCAAATTATCCATATTTACAGATGATACAATCCTGTACTAAAAGGAACCCTGGAAAGTCTACCAACATGTTTATATTTGATAAACACTTCTGTGTCTTTAGCAGCAAAGAAAATCAACATACAAAAACCAGTTGTTGCCAGGAGCTAGTGGTCCCAAGCCTGTTATCCTAGCTACTCAGGTGGCTACTATTGAAATTCAAAGCCAGCCTGGGTAAGACAGTCTGTAAGTCTGTAAGGCTCTTATCTGCAATTATTCACCAGAAAGACTAGAAGAGGATCTGTGTCTCAAAGTGGTACAGCAGTAGCCTTGAGGAATAGAGACCTTGAGCTTAAGCCCCAAAACCAACAACAACAACAAAAAAAAAAGGAAGGAGGAAAAATCAGTTGTTTCTCCATTTACCAATAACAATGAGGGTCAGAAAGAAAAGTGTTGCTCTTGCAATAGCCTCAAAAATTAAATACCTGGAGTAAAGCCAACGCAGAGAATGAAAAGCTTCTACAATAAAAATGATACATGTTAAGAAAGAAGCCATTATTTTTTCATAGATGACCCATATCACTTTTATTTGTGGTGCTTGTCCTGGGACTTGATCTCAGGGTCTGAGTGCTTCCCTGGGATGCTTCTGCTCTTGGGTGGTGCTTTTTTTTTTTTTAAGAAGCCAATAAAGATTAAAAAGAAAGAAAGATCTCCCATGTTCATGGATCAGTAGAATTAATAATGTGAAAATAATGTGGTGAACTACTGAAGGGAATCTAGTTTCAATACAAGCTGTTCCAAAATTCCAATGTCATTTTATGCAAATAGAAAAAATCAGTCCTAAAGTTCATGAGATTACACAAGATCTTAACTAGCCAAAGCAATCCTGAACTAACAGGACACTGCTAGAGATGTCATACTTCCCAACATCAAAACACACTATAGACAGAGTAACAAAAACCTCATGATACCAACACAAAAACCAGACATCTAGACTGATGGAAAAGAATAGAAGACAGGGAAAAACACACAACTTCTAGCCATCTAATCTTTAACAAAAGGGAAAAACTTAGATTCAAAAAGGGGATAACCACTTTAACAAATAGTTGGAAAAACACAATATATAAATATATGCAGATCAAAGTAGGTTACTATTGCTCACTTCCTATAAAAATCAATTCAATTCAAAATGGATCAACATCTTAATGTATGGCTTGAAACTGTGAAACTCACTGAGGAAGCACAGCCAAAGGACCAAAGGTGCGCTCATAGGTGATAGCTTTCTGAATAAGAGTGGAATTGCTCAGCAAATAGCATCAACAAAAGAGAACAAAAATGTCTGAACTGTGAAAAAAATGATTACCGGGTGAGCAGAGAGATAACAAAATGGAAGAATGTATTTCAAACTGTTAATCAGATAAAGGGTTAAAGAACAAACAATCCAATTAATTTATTTATTAATAATCATTAATTAATGAGCAAACATAGGAAGCGTAAAATGAGGAGATGGGGTGATTATGGTTGAAATACTTTATGTGTGTTTGGAAACAAAATAGTGAAATGTGTCAAAATTGTTTTAAAAAGGAGAGAAGAAAGATAAGAATAAAATAGGATAATTTAAATTAAAATAGATTGTGTATATATAACATAATGTAAGAAATACCACAATACAAATTCCTTTTTAAAATAAATACAAATAAAAAAGGAAAGAGTATGAATTCATTAAAGGACATGGCACATTGCTAGACATAAAAATTAATTG